GCGGGCAATGCCGTGTGGCCCTTGGGGTGGCTGGGCGCCGTGGTGCCTGCAGCTTCCTCCTTGGCCGGGTCAGCCGGAGCCCCGCGCTGGGCTCACCTCCCCTCCGGTCTTGGTCTGGGTTGAGCTGCTGGCGACCCGGTGCTGCTGAGGGAAAGGATCTGGCCGTCCTGCCGAGCTGCGCTGTGTCCGTCTGTGGGTTGGGCTGCCCCTGGGCAGGTGGGCTGCAGGTTAGCGAACATAGAGTGATGGAGCATGCAGGGCCACCTGACCTTGGGTGGGGGCAAGCTGGGTCTCTCCGTTCTTGGAAGCAAGCTCTTGTCCCCTCACCGGAGACGTGTTCCTCCAGGGGGAACCAGCAGCCTGGGTGGGGTGGGGCTGCGGGGGCCACAGGCGGATCAGTGGTTTCTGGGAAGGGCGGGGAAAGGTGGTCATGGGGACTGAAACCCTCTGCACCTGTGCGTGCCGGGGCCCTCTCACGCGTCTCCCCGTTTCTCTGTAGAAGGAGGTCTCGGGGTCCCCTGGGCAGGGGCGCACGGGAAGGCCACGCACGTCCTTCTGAGCTCTGTTAACTCCGGAGCGCTGGGCCCAGCGGCACGGCCGGCTCAGCTGGTCACTGTGCCCGTCACTGCCCTTGGATGATCGCAGCCTGCCTGTGCCCGGAGAAGGCCTGCAGGGGCTGGGTGGGCAGAGCCTGGACACCGGCTGTTTCCTTGCTTGGAACGTGAGGCCGAAGCTCCACAGTGCTGCTGTGGACGGTGAGCTAGCCTCCGAGGTCAGGGACCTGGCCACGGCAAGAGACACCTGCGGCACCCCTGTCCGTTCCCAGAACCCCACCCTACGGGCAGGGATGTGCCAGGAGGGCCCTCGAGGGTGGGGGTGTTACGGGAGGACCCCCAGGGCTCAGTAGACGGTGGTCCCGAAGCCCCAAGGCTGTGGTTTATACAGAGAAAGGATAGGAAGCAAGATGACCTCCGGGCAAAGGCGTGTGGGGCAGGGGTGGGGACACCAGGCCAAGCTTCCAGAATCCTCTCCCACCGTGTTCCTCAGGATGTGCTTAATTCCCCCAAACCGACACGTGAGGTGTGGTCTCCAGGGGGCGTAGAGACCCAGCGCCCAGGTTCTCACCGGGGGTCGGTCAGCAGGCCCGTCTGCCGGGCTCGGGCGGAGACCCCAGACCCCAGGAGGGGAGCAGGTCCTCGGCGCCAACCTCGTGTCTGCACAGACAGCTCTGGGACACGAGCCCCCCCCGCCGGCGAGGGTGGTGGGAGCCCCGGAGTCCGGGTCCAGACGCCCCTGAGGGCCGGCCTCGCGAGCCGGCCTCGGGGGCGGGAGGTGTCAGGCCCGTGTGGGCTCTGTCTTGCACAGGACAGTAAGCACTTTGGACTTGAGCCACTCCTGAGGCCCTCAGGGCTCTTCTTGGGAGTGCAGATCCTGAAAGTTCCACAGGTGGGAGGGGGTTCAGAGACAGGACGACTGGGGTGTGGGCAGCCCCCCCAAGGTGCCAGAGCGCGTGAGGGTGGCCGCCCCTTCTCCCCGTCCCCCACGCCATGCGCTGTCACAGCACATCCTCCGCATGCTGCCCTAGGCGGTCTCCTCGCGTGTGCACCGGAAGACGGGCCTGGCTCGGGCCCTGGCTCACGGCCTCATGCCCTGGGGCAGCAGCACACAGGACCTTCTCTGCTCGGGTCTCTCTTCCGTCCCTTTGTGAGAGCCTGCAGGGCCGGTGCCCCGTTGGGCCGCTGTCTTCACGAGAAGGGTGGGGGTTCCGGGTCACCTCACCGCATGTGTGGGGGTGCAGGTGAGGGCAGTCACCCCCGACCCTCGGCTTCCAGGAGCCCCGTCCTGTCCGTGGATGGGCCTGTTCCGGACATTTCACCCAGGCGGATTCAGACCCCGCGGGGCCTCTCGTGTCTGGTTCCCTCCCTGAGCGTCGCGTGTTCGGGGTCCGTCCCCGGGGCGGCGGGGGCGGGCGCCTGGCTCCTGCTGGCATCCGGGGGACCTTCCTGTGTGTGGGGGACACGCTGGTGGACATTTTGGGTGGTTTCCACGGTTTGGCTCTTCTGAATCACTCACGCTGCCGAGGTCACGCGTGCACGGGATCTTGTGTAGATAGATGTGTGTTTTCCATTGTCCGGCGGGCACCGAGGAGCCGTGATGACTGTCTTTTCAAAGAGTGATACAGTTAGGCTTCTTGGCTTGTGGAACGCCACGGCTGTGGCCGCGTGGGTTGTCACGAACCGGGTGCTCCCGG